AACAAACTAATTACAGAAACAGATACGTGAAATGGGAATTAGTAATTCCAATAATGAAACTGATGAAAAGAAATCACATGTAAATGTGTGAATTAGACAGAATGCATTTTGAGTAAAAATGCTGGAAACGGGGAAGTTCTTCATAACATGCAATTATGCAAACAATGTGTTGAAGATAAACGAAAGCATTTTTAGAACAAGTAAACAAACACAACTATAGTAGTTCTGAATATTGGTAAAGAAACCCACTACACGACCTCCAACAGGTGGTCTATCCCTTCTAATCTAACTCAGACTAACCAGGTTTCTTCTTCCTAATACAAATGCACAAAATATAAGGTAACCAAAGTATACATAGAACACAGAATTCCCTCAAATTACTTCATCAACCCAATATCTTCCACTTTCATTTTCCCCTAATTCCACAATTAATTTCATTTTAGAAGTGAGAATCAAGAAAATCTCAATCGAAGCTCAAATCAACAGTCAGGCAACCGGCTCAGTTCACACAGCGCCAAGCAGGATATCGTATAACCATCCAATACAGTCGCATAACACAATTTCAGAACAAATTTCAAAAAAAAAAAAAAAAAAAGAAAGTACATATATACATACAATTAGAATTATTATAGAGACAAAAACGGAACACGCATGTAAAGCGAGAAGCGAGAGAGATACCTGAAGGCGAAGACAAGATGCAGGCGAGTCGAGGAGAGGCGGTGGAGTGGAGTGGCGAGCAATCTTCATCGGCGCACCGGAACGGTCTTCTCAACTCTTGCTCCGGTGTCGAGCAGTCTGTAGTTTCTCCAGGGACGACTTTGGTATTTACTCTATTCTTGACGCCAAGTCAAGCGTGCAAAATCCATTGCAATTTAGTAAATTCATTATTACTGTTCCACCGCGAAGGTGGATCAAAATTTTTGCGAGCCTTTATGGGTTGACCCGTCAAATCCGTTTTATTTTAAATAGGAATGAGGTTCAAATTGGCCACTGAACGTAACATGAAAATGCAATTAGGTTACTGAACGAATAAAAAGTGTAATTAGGCCACTGAACACTTCAAAAACGTGCAATTAGGCCACTGAACTCTCTAAACGTATGCAATTTCACCGGATAGCAGGTTATCATCAATTTTAGCAGGTTACCTGCTTACGTGGCAGCTGAGTTAGCATTTTTAATAATTAATTTTAATAATAAATTTTATAAAAAATTGAAAAAATAAATAAATAAATAATAAAATAAAGTCGTTTTTATTTTTTAAATAAAAATTTATTAAAAATGATTTAAAATTTATTAAAAATGTCAACTCAGCTGCCACGTAAGCAGATAACCTGCTAAAATTGAGGGTAACCTGCTATTAGGTGAAATTGCACATTTTTAGAGTGTTCAGTGGCCTAATTGCACTTTTTTTTCGTTCAGTGACCTAATTGCATTTTCAGGTTACGTTCAGTGGCCAATTTGAACCTTATTCCTTTTAAATACTATGACTTTACCAAGTGGCTTGTGGTTCACTGATATCAGATTACTCCCCTATAGAGCCGTCAAAATGGGTTTTACCCGCCGGGTCGACCCGTCCTGTACCGCCATAAGTAGGGGACGGGTTCTTCAAATTTTGATCCGCCAGGAGGCGGGCTTTTTAGCCTGTCCCGCCTGGGTCACGAGTCCAGGCGGGTCACGGGTTTAGCCCGCGACCTGCTAATACATATATATTTTGTATATATATTATTATATTTAGTGTGTTATAACTTATAGGATTATAGATTTATAGGAATACAATACCAGGTAGTGTTACTGTGTTAGTGTACTGTACGTCTGTACAGTGATTCTTTTTTTTTATTTTTTAAGAATATTGTATAGTGATTTTTTTTTAAAATTAACACAGCGAAAAATTTTGATTGGCGAGCTAACCCGCCCCGCCATCGGGCTTTGACATGGTGGGGCGGGCCGGCCACATTCCAATCTCGCTACGAGGACGGGCTTTGGTGTGTTTTGGCCCATTCCGCCCCGCGAGACCGTTTCAACGGCTCTACTCCCCTATGTAGGAGGTCTAGGTTTTGAGCCTTAGTGTAGGCGTAGATTGTATGGGTATCCCTCTTCTTTTGTAATAAAAAAAAAATACTATAACTCTACGTGGGTTAGAATTTTTAAATCTTAATCCATATTATGCGGATTTAATGTATATATAGGGGTCATTATATCGTACACCGCGGTCAAAACGGCGTCGTCGTTAATTTTAATGGAGCGCGCAATTTTTGTATGGTAATTACCAACTGACACTACAGTATATCTAAACCGACACAGCCTCACGTATTATTTTTATATTATCACTACAGTATATCTAAACTGACACAGCCTCACGTATTATTTTTATATTATCAAATGAAACTGCATTTATATCAAAATGATATGTAGTTGTGGTGAAATGAAACTGAATAACATTCACATATTTGAATGTATATTGTACAATGAAGCTCTAATTATATCAAAATGATCATGTAATTGTATTTTAATAAAACTATAGTGTATATAAAATAAAATTAAATAACATTTTCACATATTTGAGTATATAAATATCGAATGAAATTGTAGTTATATCTAAATGAAATTGTAGTTGTGTTAAACTGAAACTGCAGTGTGTACAAAATAAAACTGAATAACAGAGTTACTTTTTGCAATCGTTATATCCTACACCACGGCGCACATAGCACTGTGCGCCGCGCGCCTCCCAAAACGACGTCGTTTTGGGGTAGTGTTGGGAGGCGCGGTAGGAAGTTGCTGAGATTATGTGTATTTGTTCACAACGTTATGTGTATTTGTTCACAACGTTATGTGTATTGGTTCATACAGTTTTGTGTATTTTTTATACAATTATGTACATTCTTTTTATACAATTATGTACATCCGAATCAGAAAATTTGTGTGTATTATGTTAAGGGTTGATGTGTATTATGTTAAAAGTTTATGTTTATTATGTATTATAGATTATGTGTATTATCTTTTAAAAAGAGTATGTATATTTGTTATATAATTATGTACATTCATGTATAACATTATGTGTATTCTAGTATAACATTATGTACATTCTTGAACAGCGGGTTTTTTTAAAAACATTCACTGGGGCGGGAAATTTCAAAAAAAAATAATAATTAAAACGACGTCGTTTTGCATCTGGCGCATAGTGCAACGCGCGCCGTGGTGTAGGATATAAATTGCTTACTTTTTGTAGAAGGGTGTGAAACAGCGAGAAACGAATGCCGTTTCTTTTCATTAAACAAAACAACGTCGTTTTGATGCGCAATGTACAATATAATTTGCTTATATATGGTTAGACCAAGGGTCGGTGGCCCGCATAGCCTACCAACCCATGCGGGCTAAACCCACGATACCCACATTTTCGTTGGCCATAAATTTTAGACCATAACCCGTCCTACTGTGGGACAATTTGGGATTTGCCTATAAACTTTGGCCTACTTTAACACCTCTTATATATCAAGTAGATTTGAATAATATTTAAAATTATTTTTAGAATTAGTTTTATATGCGCAATGCGCAACATAACTAAAATAAATCTCTAATTTTGATATTTAATATTAAAATGATTATAAAAAGAATAAATAAATAACAGAGATCATAGAATATATATATTATTTGAAATGATTAATTATTGAATTAATTTTGTTGTTTATATTAAAACTATTTCATTCTTATATTAAAATGCACAATACACAAAATGAACATGAACAGTATATGTAAAAAGGATAACTTAACGCAATAAATTTATAAAATGGTTTTTTTTTTTTTTTTTTTTTTTTTGTCGAAAGGATAAAATGCTTTAATCTTAAGAAATTTAAGAACCCTTTTTTGGGTATTTATTTACACAAGTGCTCGGTACAAATTAGGAAACAAATCTCCTAAATCTCAATTCCAAAACTCCAACAAATCAAATTTGGATTTACACCAAAAATACAAGATATATTCCAAATCTAGAAAAAATAAACTACCTCACTTAAGGAAAAAAATCCCATAAAGTCCAAGTTAAATGTAGGTAAAATATCTTCCAAATCTAGTCCTTTTGTCCCTTTGTATATGCCTGGAATTCCCCTCATTTACAGGGTGTTTGGTTGGAGAGGGGGAATTACGTGGGAAATGAATTGAAATTTCATGGGAGATGAATTATTGAGAATAAAGTAAAAATTTAAATTCCAGTACTGTTTGGTTTACAGGAATATAATTACTGAGAATTTTAATTCTAATGTTTGGTATACATGGGAATTGAACGGGAATAAGTAGTATAAAGTCTAAAATGTACATTGTTGTTGTCAAGCATTAATTTTAAGTTAAAAAAGTGGAGGGATAATTTTGATTCATCACTATCTTTTTTTCTTCCTAAAATCCCAAGGGAGGGCCTGGGATTTTAATTCCATGAAAATGGAGGAATTGCAATTCCTTTCAACCAAACAAGAGAATTTTGTTGCCTTTGAAATTATGTAGGACTTAAGTGGGAATGAAATTTAAATTCCCTTCAACCAAACGCCATGTTAGTGCGTTGGTGTTCAAGTCGATGGTCCCGTGTTCGAGCGCTTCTCTCAGGCTTTGTCAATCGACCACTCAAAGGTTTATCGATTAGATATTAATATCCGACTCATTAAAAATAATTAAAATATTTGCAATTTAAGTTAAATGTGGATAAAATTTAAAGATTTTATAGTGAATTGAATTTATATTTAATTTAAAAATATTAAATATTTGAACCAATAATTAATCAAATTTATTTACAATATTATTAATATTTTGGATGACAAGGAAAATCACATCCTGATAGTGTAAATTATACTCCTATATAATAACCCGCAAATCACATAGAAAAAGTATACTACATTAAGAAGATTGTCAGATTGTGTGATGACGATAATAATATTGACAAAAGTAAAACTTAAAATTATTATTATTATTAACTCAGAATTCAAAATATTATCATTACAAGAAAAAAAGTGAAGAAATTAAGGCAGCTGTTTGATAAGTTGTTGGGCGACGACAGCGAGTTGGCGGTGCCTTAACCCGCCGTCCGGCACCGGCGAGCCGTCTAATCCGGCGTTCTTGAACAGCGCGTCGCAAGCACTTCCAGCATCAGCTCCCGAACCAACTTCACGCGCAGCCTCGGCGTACGAGCCACTGTCGAAGTCTTTTACGGCGTTGGCGTCCGAATTAACGGCCAGGCCGAAGCCAAGTCGGCAGCTGCCCAGAATCTCCTTTTTGAGTTGACCAATATTGGGATCTTCGAGGAGTTTGATGATGACGTTCAAGGTGGATGTGGCTTCGTCGAGGGCGCCCGACATCAACATCATCTGAGCTAGGCGTTTTTTGTCGGCGTAGGGGGATCCCGTGAACTTACGGAGGGTGGACTCGCAGAAACCAGGGTAATCGGTGTTCTTGCAAACCGTGGAGATGAGATCTCCGGCGGCTTGGCCGGAAAACAGGGCAGCAAAGAGGACAAGGACGACGGGGACGAGTCTCGTCATCTTTAGCTCCATGCAGCATGCAATGCCAATTGAAGACGATCCTATCGATTTTGGTGATTTAATAAGTAGGGTGAGGCGTTCCATATAATATATAGGAGGTTTTTTTTTTTTTTTTTTTTTTTGATATATTGGGTTTCCTAATTTAGACTAGATTAATTGTGTTACTAGACCGTAAGGTTATTGGCGAAATCTAAATTGATTAATTACACTATAAGTTTAAAAGAAAAAAAAACAATTCACGTAATAATTAAATACCTAGAAAAAAATCCACAATTCAGTAATATAAAATCAAGATGTGAATACTAATTTTATATATTTTATATTATTTCAATATAATTTGAATTGTCACATGCTCACATATTATAGTTCTGAACTCTATAACGAAAATTAATTTATTATTTTTATACATTTTATTAATTATATGTCACCTTAATTAGTTGTTTGGTGAGCATCTTTTGAACTCATACTACATTTATTAAGGTTTTCTATCAATAACTATTTATCCTCTTCTTACCCCACCCCCCCCCCCCCCCCAAAAAAAAAAAAAAGGTGATTGCCTCAGTATACAACTAAAATGTGATGATTTAAAAAAAAAATGATGATATTAATTGTAAGATATATAAAATTAAAAGTTATGTCCCCTTAATGATTGAGCGAGTAAGTAAAATATGATTTTTTAAAAATAATAATAACTCCCATCCACCCACTTAAAAACAATAAAGTATTTATTGGAGAATGAGATCGGGATTTGGAGTTGAGAAATTTGATTAACTTAATTCAGTAAATTGTTTGAGCGGATTACTGAATTAGTTAATTAATTTAGTAGTTGAAAATCTATGTCAAAATTTTATCAATCCATCTAAAATTCAGTTCATTAACGAGGAAGCATACAACCAAGTGGCTTGTAGTCCACTGGTATCAACTTACTCTCTTAGGTGGGAGGTGATGAGTTTGAATCTTGATTGAGGCAAGTAGTGTGTATATGTAGGGTATCCCCTTTCTATTAATTAAAAAAAAATGAGGAAGCACACAATTATAGGATTATATATTTTGTACCCATTTACATTGTAATCTTTTTAAAAAAAAAAAAATATTTTTATTGTAATCTATGGCTGAATTTAATCCTGAAATTTGGGCTCTTGTAAAGTGATATAGCACATTAGGCTATCCTTGTCCCGTATCTCACTTTCAAAAGTAGGTCTCATATCTACATCATCAAATTTAAAATTACTTCACTATTTTGTCTACATTCCGGCAATACTTTATCACTTTAAAAAATGGTCTCACCTTCTCATCACAATTATAAAATCATATATTTTTCAATAAATAAATACATATAATACCACTAATTTTTTTTTTAAACAAATTTTGCTGTCAAATGGCAACTGGCAGTAAAAATAGTGGGTTAAAAGCTTGCTATGGCAATAAGAATAAAATAAAATAAATAATTTTTTTGTTGCCACCTCATCTTGCAAGTGATAAACTTAGCTTGTTGAGTTGAGTTTAGCCTTAGAAAGTACCGGAGTAATTTTTTTTCTTTTAAATGATTACCTAGTTTGCAAACTTGCTACTGCAACAAGTTTGCAAATATGACAAAATGTTGCGGCAGCCTTTTGTACTTTTTTAAAAAATTTAAAATTTTGTTTTTGTTTATTTATTTATTTTATTTTGATGCATGTGATGTAAAAGTGGATCCCTTTTAAAAGTGAAAGAATATTACAAAGATGTAAAGAAATTACAAAAATTTTTAATCAGAATGAAGGGCTATATATATGTACACACTACCTACCTCAACTAAGGTCACTACTTACCTCAATTAAGGTAATTGAACTTATCACTTTCTACTTAAGGGAGTAATCGGGTACCAATGGACCACAAATCACTTAATAGGAATTACAAATTTATTTATGTAAAAGTAGGCTTTTTTTAGAATGAGATAGTATTGGAGGAATGAATTCAATATAATACTCTAAATTTGAGTATATAAGGTTGTTTTCAACCGAGTGAGGTGGAATAAACAAAAATTAATTTCCCTTTTATTTGTTTTCCACCGTGGGTTGAAACTGCAATTTTTTGCTGCCAAATGGCAGCTTTTGTTGCCATTTGGGAGCATTTTGTACTTTTTTTTATTTTAGTACTCCGTATTATTTATTTATTAAAAATATTAAATTATTATTGTGATGTGAAATTGAATTTTTTTTTTTTTTTAAAGTGAGAGTATTTCAAGAATAAAGATAATTTTTTTTTTTTTAAAATAAGAATAAGGATAGTTTATGATAGCCTAACATTCAAATTTTATGTTTACAATTCTTATATAATGTGACGTGAGTATGATTTTGTGCAACAAATTACTTGAATTAGTAATGCATTCAATTTAATTCATGAAATATTTTTCTTTAATTTTGTAACGCCTCATTTACTCTCATTTAGTTTTATAGACTTCTATATCATATTTAAGTTTGTAACGTTAAAGTTAGTTTAGAAATGCGCAAAGTCTTAAAAAACCTATTAATGCACCCATAAGGCCATAAAGTAAAGATGTTTAATTTAAGGGAAAATGACACTTTTACCCCCTAAGTTATATACTTATAGCACTTTTCTCCCTCAATTATTTATGTAAGCACATTAGCCCCCTCAATTATTTTAAAAGTGGTAGTTTTTTCCCTAAATATATTAAATTGACATTTCTACCCTTAAAGTAAACATTTTATTTATTTTACTTTTCCAACAAATTATTGCGTATATGTAGCGATTACCACGGTTCGGTTCAAACTGAACCAGACACTATAGCAATCGAATTAAAAGTTTTCAGTTATGATTCAAATCTAGAACCTAATATTTGGATTTCAATTTATTAAATTTAAGAATAAAAAAAACTGGATCATGAACCGTGAACCGGCAGATCCGGATCCAGTTCGCGATTTTGAACCGTCTTTATTTTAAAATTTTATTTTTTATTTTAAAATAGTCTAAATTCAACAATAAATGTATTTTATTTTTTCAGTTCGGAACATGAACCGGCCATTCCGGTTCGCGATTTTAATAAACTCTAAATATCGCGTTTTGATTATAAATTGTAGTTGGAATATTTTGATTTGGTTGCTATAGTATCTGTTTGGTTTGAACCAACTTATAGTAATAATTTATTGAAGAATAAAAATAAATGAAATATTTATTTTAAGGGTAAATATGTTCATTTAACATTTCAGGGGGGAAAAAGAGCCACTTAAATAATTCAGGGAAAAAAAGTGCTATAAATATATAACTTAGGGGGAAAAAATGCCATTTTCCCTTAATTTAATATTACTACTCTTATTAAAGTCAATACTTTCATAAATATCTTCTTGAGAATGCACAATCCATGAATCCAACCAGTTGATGAGTGATGCTTAGATAGAATTGGGATAGTGTTTCGTAGATGCTGAAGAAAAGATAAGTTTGATATTATATTTCAAGGCTATTTTTAAAAATATATGAATATAATATGATACATAAGTAATGTTATACAAATACGAAATATATATTAAAAATAGAAAAATATGATTAAATTAAAACAATTGAACTTGGTTTGGCTCCGCTATTCTTTGAGTTTAAGTTCAGCTTGAAAATAACTAAATAAATTTAGGGTTCGTTCAATTTAAACATCAGATTAGAAATTGTAATTGGAATCAAATACTTTATCAAGTTGAGCAGACAAAAATGGTAAGAAATACTTCAATTATTTATTAAAGGGGTGTTTGGTAAATAGTTGTTACTTGTTAGCTGTTAGTTGATTAGGTTAATGGGTTTGACTAATCAATAACACCAGCTCATTGTAGAAAAATGTTTGGTAAATTAACTATTAACTGATAGCTGATTACATGCAAACTGATTTTCTCAAAAAGCTTATCAAAAAAGCTGATTTGAGCATTTTTTTGAATTGTAGCATTTTAGAGCAATAAGCTGTTACAACTTACAAAAAACTAATTAATCAAATATTTATATTGAATGTTTAACGAAGTCAAATAGCTAATAGTAGTTAAATAAGTTAAAATTGATTGATAAGCTAACTATGTTACAAAACAGGGCATAAGTTGAGCAGGTTGACAGGCTCTGACCAGGAATCTTCTCTTATTTGAATTACTTCCATTTGCTCTGCATAAGGTAGGCATGCATACTCGAAACTGGAACAGCACCATAGTATACTTATATTAAATTAAATTCTGTCTCTGCAGTATAAACTAGATTTATACTAATGTAAGCATGGCACATCAAAACTTGGTTATTAAAAAAAAAACACACACACACAGTTTTGCTCAATCCAAAGTAATTAATAAAGAGAAAATAAAGTACCTGAAACCATTGCCATGCTAGTGATTATGGACCAATGTATCATTACTTCAATTTACTCCAATATCTCTGATACTGCAGTCTTTCTGAATGGATCAACCTGAGACAACATGGCAGCCAATTCTTTATTTGGGAATACTTTATCAGCCTTCATTCGCTCCTTCATTCCATAAGCAGGAGCCTTTGCATTCATATAAGCCCGAATAAGAGCTTGGTACAACCGAAACTGGGATGTGAATCCTGCCTGTCTCATCCTGTGGAATACCTTCTCCGAATTATGTATGTCACCTCTTTTAGCATATTGATCCATGATAACAATGTATGATCTAAACATTGGCTTTACACGTGCATGCTTTGCAGCCTTATTCAATACGGATTCAGCTTTTTCCACTTCTCCAGCTTGAATATAAAGCTTTATAATTGAGTCCCAGGTTGGTGGCCCCATGTGGCAGCCATTTTCTGTCATCTGCTTCACAAGCTCCATACCTTTGTCCAACATCTTATTATTTGCATAAACATTTAACAAAGCAGAATATCTCTTTGAGGAGAGATTTTGGTATTTATTTACCATCATGTCAAAGACTGCTTCTGCCTCATCAACCATTTTCAACTTTCCCCAGGCTTCAATGGCAGCTTCGTAATGACTTAACCGTGGATTAGATTCACAAAGTTGCCAGATTCTTCTGACTTCATCAGCCTTCCCAATGGCAGCATACAACGGAAGCAAAATTGTGTAAGCCAAAGAATTTCCAGCCACATCGTCTGTTTCCATCTCCTTCAGTACAGTCTCAGCTTTTTCTTGGAGGCCACCGGAGATGTAGTGTCTGGCTAAGGAGCCTTTTGTACGGATATCAGGCTCTATTCCTTCAGCCTTCATTGTCTCAAATACTTGTTCCATTCCAGTAATGTCATTAGATTCTCCCTTGGCATCCATTAAAATTTTGTACGTAGATCGATTTGGTTTCACATTTTCTTTTTCCATTAGTAAAAGAACATCAGCAATCTTCTTTTTGTCTGTCCTCTTATATAGAAGGAGCAGCTGGTTGCAAGTAAAGCATGAAATTGGGAGCTTGAGGTCCTTCATTAGCTTAAACACCTCTTCTGATTTATTCACATCAAATACAGAAACACAATTTGCCAACAGAGTTCGATAAACAATTTCACTTCTAAAAGATTTTGGAAGTTTCTGTACAAGAGCTTCTGCATTTCGTAGACCAGAGACTTTAGCAATTAAATCAACTTGAGAAGCATAATCCCTATCTGTGAAATCAATATGCTTCGATGACTTCAACCACTCAGACAGCTGTCAAAAGAAATACTCAGTTAAGGGCCAAAGAATTTGTTTTTAATCAGTTGAATTATTTTTTAAAAAATGAATCAAAGAAGTTAAGCATATAGTTATATTTTTGAAAAAACTGAAGCACAGGTGATAAATGAAGATTCAAATGCAGCCACACCAAAGCAATAAGAAGGTAAAGAACTAAAGATTACCTTCAAGGCTGCCACATACATACGCATCTTACGGAGTCCAAGCATGGCCATTTTTATGTCTGCTCGGGTCAACTCTTTTCCTTCTTCAACCCATTTATCCATGACACTACTAACAGATAGTGGAAATGCAGCCAAAATAGCCTTGACTATTTCTGAATATGGTGCCTTTTTCTGGCTGATACGAGTCATGGTGTCACCCAGTTCACTCTGAGATCCTTCTGCACCTTCATCATCGGAATCCTCATCAATGTGTTCTGGTTCAGATACTAAACCATCATCATTGTTTGCATTCCCATCTTGAATTGGATCAGAAGCGGTAGGAGATTCAAGCTCAGGAATTCCATCCAACTTGTCATCTTCCTCTCCACTGCTTCTTGTGCCAACTGCTTGTGAAGAGAAACCGTAGCTTCCCTTGAATGAGATTGGGGCACTATGACCCATTCTATAAAATCTATTTACAGGTAGACATCTATCAGATACCACTGGAGTAATCGTATTAATTCCAGTGTCAAATTCTTCAAAGCAACGATTTGATAGCTCTGATGTAGCAAAGCAAATTCTAATACTGCCTGTGTTCAATCCTTGCTTCCTGGAAAAGTAACCAATGTAACCAGTTCATTGTCCATAATCCTTTTAACTTTGGCTAGCATTCTACTTGGTGATAGAGGTTCAAATAGCATACTCCAACGGTTACTGGTTTCTGTTCCAATGGCAATAAGGCAATTGGACAGTTCAACCATGAAGAGTACAGATAACAGACTGATTCGTTTTTCTAATGGGCTAGCACACAGATCCCTGCTCCTTACTTTCTCATCAAAGGAAGTACGAAGTTTGTCTTAGATTATGAAAAGATCAGCTCTAAGTTCTAACCACAAATCTCTCAGGAGCTCAACCATACGCCTCAACAACATCTTGGAACATGAAAGGAATTTCAAGTTGAGGTTTGGCCCTCTTTGGTAAAATAGTTAGTCTATAGGCCAATTTTGGCTTATTTGACCACTATTAGTCGTTTGACTTGGTTTAAAAATCAATATAAGTGTTTGCTTTATTAGCTTTTTGTACTCCAAAATGCTAAAATTCAAAAAGCTACTCAAAACAACTTTTTCAATTAGCTATTTAAAAAAAAAAAAAATTATATCAAACAGCTATTAGCTAACAGCTAATTTACCAAATACATTTCTATAATCAGCTAATGCTATCAACAAGTTATACCTTCTAATTAACCCAATCAGCTAATAGGTATCGGCTAACAGCCATTTACCAAACAGGGCAGAGAATTGCAAGACAAGGTAGATTTCTATCCATCTTTCATTTTTTTTTTACTAAAATTTATTGACTTACCAAGAAATAATTTGGATTAAAAATAAAATTTAGTAACCCTAGGTTATAGCTCAGAACTAGTGATAAAAGAAACGTGTTTCTTCACTTTCCTAACATCACCAAACAATCATTTCCCTCTGTAAAACACTGACCCCTTTTCTAGCATGGGAAAATAGCCAATAACTCATCAGAAGCTAGTTTTCGTATTGCGCCTCTCGACACTATAACTCAATGCATTCATTTCTTCGCAGTCAGACAGCCGACCTCATAAATTTTGTTCAAATAGTTTTTCTTAACAAAATTCGAGAACTCACTTGCAGGGATAAACATATAAATACATTCACACACGCATAGGGAGAGAGGGGAAGAGAGTGAGAGATTACCTGATGGAAGCAGAAGCATGGCGAAGTGCCCACATCCAAACTGTCTTTGAGAGCTCTGTTAGTGAGTAAAGGAGAAGTGAGTGAGTGAAAAAAGTCTTTAAAACCCTGATTGGGTTTGCAGTTTATATACTTCACCGGGAAATATAACCAAATAATTTGCTAAATGTCCAATTGAGTTCTTGTGCTTTAATTTACTTTTGTAATGCAATAACTTAATTGTTCAAACGTCTGATAACATAATACTAACACCGTTAACAATCATCATAAGTATAAGAATCAATTATACAAAATTGAAGTATAAAAATTAAATTGAACAAAACACTATATCTTTGTATAATATGGCCTCGCATGGCATAATGTTAAGTCCCTATATTAAGACATTGTAATCTAGTTGCATAATTCATATTTTTTTAAGGGGGCGTTTGGTTCAGGTTATATAAGATAATCAAAGTTTTTAGCTATTGGAAGAGAATGTGAGATACCTTCCAATTTCTTAGGTAATCTCACGACAATTTATATTGTGCACCACGGCGCACATAGCAATGTGCGGCCAGGCACAAAACGGGCGCGTTTCATGTTGACGTCACTCCGTCCATCCGAACAGACCAAACCTCATTGTGTGTATTCAATTAAAATTTTATGTGTATTGTGTTATGAGTTTATGTGTATTCAGTTAAGAGTTTATGTGTATTATGTTAACCAAACTCATTATGTGTATTCAGTTAAAAGTATATATGTATTGTGTTATGAGTTTATGTGTATTATGTATTATGTTAGATTATGTGCATTCTGTTATGAGTTTATGTGTATTATGTTAGATTATGTGTATTCTGTTATAAGTTTATGTGCATTTGGTTATGAATTTATGTGATTCGAAACATGGAATTTTTATTTAACAACTTAACAAAACGACAAGGGAATTTTTTTTTAACAACTTAACAAAACGACATCTTAGTGCTATGTGCGCCTTGGTGCATTGTATAACGATTGGTAATCTCACATTTTCTTGTCTTATTACTAATGTTGGGCTTTGGACGTTTTAATTAATTTATCTTATTACCGTTTTCTTATTTACATATCGTAATTTTAAACCAAACACAAGAATTTAGGGGTCGTTTACTTCATTTCTCTATTTTTCCATTTTCAGTTTTCCATTTCTCCATTTTTCCAATTTTCCTTCTCCATTCCTCCAGTTTTCCATTTCTCCATTCTTCCAGTTTCATTTCTCTAATTTTCTGATTTTATTATCAACCTATATAACAATAATAATAATATTAATAATTAATAAAAATAATAATAATAACAACAATAACAACAACAACAACAACAATAATAATAATAATTTAATAATTATTATTATAACAATAGTAATAATAATACGAATTTAATAATAATAATAACAATAATAATAATTATAATTTAATAATAATAATAACAACAACAATAATAATAGTAGTAATATAATAATAATAAGAATTTAATAATTTAATAATAATAATACGAATTTAATAATAATAATAACAATAATAATAATTATAATTTAATAATAATAATAACAGCAATAACAATAGTAGTAATATAATAATAATAATAATTTAATAATTTAATAATAATAATAATAATACGAATTTAATAATTAATAATAATAATAATAATAATAACAATAATAATAATAATTAGTAATAAGAATTTAATAATAATAATAATAATAATAATAATAATAATAAATCTGAAGAGGTGTCAAAAATCTGAATGCCACACTTTGCTTGTACGCCAGTGTCAAAATCGAAAGAAGAAGTGTGCGCCAGTGTCAAAAATCAAAATCTAAAGAAGAAGGGATCAGCAAGATTTAAACCTGGGACGCCACACTTGGCTTGTACTGTTCACCCGTGTGTTTCCATTTCTCCATTTGGAGAAGTTGGATTTTCAATTCTCCAAATTCCTTAATAAGAGTGGAGAATGGAGATGGAATAAGGATTTGGAGGAATAAATTTAGTAAACAACTTTTCCATTTTCCATTTTTCTACCTCTCCAATTTTCTATTTTTTTGGAAAATTTTCCATTTCTCCACTTTGGTAAACAACCCCTAACATTCCCAACAATTTAACATTCCTTAAGGTAATCTAACATTACGTGAACCAAACGCCCCCTAAATGTATAAAAATATAAAAATAATAATACAATTGATGCAGAGTGCATAACCCAGTTTGGCTCAATCTCAACTATTCCCAAGTAACTAATTACTACTCGTATTGTAAAATATCATCACTTCAATTACTCAAATATCTCTGATACTGTTGTTTTTCTGAATGGATCAACCTTAGGCAACATGGCAGCCAATTCTTTCTTTAGGAATACTTTATCGGCCTTCATTCGCTCATTCATTCCATAAGCAGGAAGCTTTGCATTAAAATAGGCCCGAACAAGTGTTTGGTACAGCCAGGGAAGGGACGCGAATCCTGCCTGTCTCATTTGGCGGAACATATGCTCAGAATTATGTATGTCGCCTTTTTGAGCATATTGCTCAAGGATCGCAATGTATGATCTTAACATTGGCCTTACACCGTTATGCTCTGTTGCCATGGCCAAGACAGTATCAGCCTTTTCCACTTCTCCAGCTTCAATATATAGCTTTACTAGTTTGTTCCAAGTGGATACCCCAATGTGGCAACCGTTTTCTGTCATCCGCTTCACAAGGTCTTTCCCTTTGGCTAACATCTTATTATTTGCATAAACATTTAACAAAGTGGAATATCTCTTTGAGGACATCTTTGGGTATTTGTTTAGCATCGTTTCGAAGATTGCTTCCGCCTTATCAACTTTTTTCAACTTTCCCCAGGCTTCAATGGCAGCCATATACTGTTCTTCCCGTGGATTAGATCCACAAAGTTGCCAGATTCTGTTGACTTCATCGGCCTTTCCAAGGGCAGCATACAGTGGAAGCAAAATTGTATAGACCCAATACTTTTCTGACACGCTGTCTGCTTCCATCTCCTTCAATACAGCCTCAGCTTTTTCATTGAGACCACCACGGATATAGAACTTGGCCAAGCGGCTGTTTGTACTTAAATCAGGCTCTATTCCCTCAGACTTCATTAACTCAACAAATTGTTCCATTCCAGTTATATCATTATACTGGCCCTTAGCATCAATCAACATTTTATAAGTAAAGAGATCTGGTTTCACGCCTTCTTTCTCCATTTGTAAAAGAACATCACCAATCTTCTTTTTGTCAGTCCTCTTATATACAAGGAGCAGCTGGTTGAAACAAAAGCATGAAATTGGGAACTTGAGGTCCTTCATTTTCTTAAATACCTCTTCTGCTTTATTCATATTGAATACAGCAGCACAATTAGCCAATAGGGTTCCATAAACAACTTCACTTCTAAAGGATTTTGGAATTTTCTGTACATAAGCTTCTGCCTTTTGTAGACCACCAACTTTGGCAATTAAATCAGTATGTGAAGCATAATCCCTTTCTGTGAAATCAATATGCTTCAAGGACTCCAACCACTCAGACAGCTGTCAAAAGAAATATTCATTGAAGGTCCAAAGAATTTGCTATTTACCACATGAATCATCAAAAAAAGGAACCAACAACTCAAGTATGTACTCCCTTTGGCCACAAAAAGCTGTCCTGTTTCACTTCCCTAAGGTCTAATTTCTCTTAACATTTTAAAATATATCTTTTAAAAAATTATTGGGGTTGTAATTTTTTTAGACTAGTAAAACTTGATGTCTTAATGTCTAATTATTTTTTAAGACAAAGTAATGTGCATAAAACGTAAGTAAAGGTTTAGTCAAACTAACCAATTCAATAGTAAAAGTGATAGTTATTTGTAGACGGAAGTAGTGGTTATGCTTTGTAAAAATTGAAGCTTAAGTGACAAAACTAGAATCCTTTAACCCGTAATAAACCTCCATAGGCAGGCAGTCACGCCTAAGCAATACGAGAGTAAAGATTACCTTCAAGGCCTTCACATACAAACGCCTCTTACGAAGTCCCCGCATAGCTGTTGTTATGTCTGATTGGGTCACCTCTTTTCCTTCTTCAACCCATTTATCCAAGACACTAGTAACTGATAGTGGTGACGCAGCTAGAACAACCTCTAGAATTTCTGAAGAAGCATTTGCTTTCATCTGACTCGTAGGACTCTCAGTGTCTGAACCTAGTTCTCTCTGTGGTCCTTCTGCATCGTCATCAAACAGTTCTGGCTCAGAGACTAACTCGTCACCATTGTTTAGATTTCCCTCTTCAATTGAACCAGAGGTCATAGGAGATTCAAGCTCAGAAAACCCATCCAACTCATCATCATCCTCTCCACCGCTTTTTGTGCCAGCACATGAAGAGAAACCGTGGCTTCCCTTGAATGGTGTTGATGGGCTACAAGCCATCTTATAAAATCTACTCACAGATAGAGATGTGTCAGATACCACTGTAGCAGCCCTATGAACTCCACTGTCATAGTCTTCAAAGCAACGATTTGATAACTCTGATGTAGCAAAGCATAACTGAGCAGTACTTGTGTTCAATCCTTGCTTCCTGACAGAGTAACCAATTTCATCAGTCTATTGTCCATAATCTTGAAGTAAGTTCAAATAGCCTATGGCCCTGTTTGGTAACATAGTTAGCTTATTAGCCAATTTTGGCTTATTTGACCACTATTAGCTGTTTGACTTAATTAAACAATCAATATGAATGTTTGATTAATTAGTTTTTTGTAACCGCTTATTGCTCCAAAATGCTAAAATTCAAAAAGCTGCTTTGATAAGCTTTTTCGATTAGCATTTTGAGAAATTTTGCATGTAATCAGCTATCGGCTAACAGCTAATTTACCAAACACTTTTCTGCAATCAGCTAATGTTATTAACTAGTCAAACCCACTAACTCAATCAACTAACAACTATTTACTAAACACCCCCTATATGTCCTTCCAAAAGAGTCAATCTGATAAAGCCATTTCAAAATCATGCTAGTTTTCTATGTCTCTATTTGTTATCACTACCACAGCACACAATTTTCCTACTGCAAAAACCAGTGACCCTTTTTCAAGCAGCAAAAAGGTAATTAACTCATTAGAACAAGTTTTCTCTGCTAGACCAAATACAAGAAAATGGTTTTCATTACGTTTCTCTCGACACTATTGTTCAAAGCATCGATTTCCTTCACTATCAAACAGCCAACCCCATTATGCATGAGCAAACATCTGTTTATATATACACAAATGGAGAGATAGGGAACCGCAGATTACCTGATGGAAACAGAAGCGCGACGAAGTGCCCACATCCAGACGGTCTTTGACTCTTTGAGAGCTCTGCGAGTGGAAGTGGAGCAGAAAAGGGTAAAAGAGAAGTGACTGACAGAGTGAGGAAGAAAAACCCTGAACCCTAGTTGGATTTGCAGTTAGATATTTCAGTGTTAAAATTGGTATTAAAAATTAATAGAGATGCCCCTGTAGTTTCAGATAATACCATCTAGGCCCATAAACATTTGCTTTACTATTGTTATGATCACCATATTATTTATTTAATATTTATATTTATTTATATTCTATTTTTAGTTGGGTTAAGAATACAAAATGAATAGATTTTCAAATGAGAAGACATATTTATAGGAGTGTTTGTAAAATGATTGAGAAGACATATTTATAGGAGTGTTTGTAAAATGATTTATGAGCCAAAGTGTGATTTATTTTATCAATTTTAGTTGTTTCACAATATAAATGTTTGGTAAACAATTTTTGACTTAATTTATTAGTGTCAATAAACTGAAAATTAAAAAGTTACTTTGAATATGTTTTCATTGATCAAGTGTCATTTCGCACCATGAAACAATAGTGATTCTTCGTGCCGCGTCCTAATCTTTCATAAGTGCTGATTCGATGTATAAATCATACATTTTTTCCGCCTAATTTCTTTTACAGGTTGCATTCAAGTTATATGTAATCACTTGCTGATGTAGAGGTAATTTGCTATTGACGCGGTTCAATTTGTAGAGGTAGCATCCAATTCATCAGCTGTCTGAAATAAACCCAAATTGAAATCTCAAAGCAAACCCTATATCGAATTCGCTAAAAATCCAAAACCAAAGTCGCAACCAATTGAAATATGAAACCATCCAATCCCCCATTATACAACTCAAACACTAAATCCCTAAGCCCGACGACCCCCAGACGGCAGCCCATACATCGCAACTACCAAATTCAAGCAATAAATTTCTAATATAACAGTGGACGACGAAGGAAAAGTGTATGGACTTCCTAGGCAAATATGCGAAGGACAAGTAAGGTATGTAAAACTAACTGTATATGTAGAACAATCTATATGCGAATACTGTGAGGATTGTAATATGTTATATTGTTTTCTTATGCGAATATGCTGTGAATATGATGTGGTGTGGCTTTGCTGCTGTTGTTGTTGCTTTTATTTTGTATTGATTCTGATGTAGTAGGGTCATGGTATACTGCATTTTTGTTTGAATATGCTTTGATAAAGTGTGGTCCTCTAGTCTTATTTATGACAGTTGCTGTCGCTATAAAGTGTTAAAGTGTGCCAATATTTTTATGTTGAAATGTGCATTGCACCTCTGTTGTCAGGATGAATGAAAGTGTGAAATTAATTAGTCATCATGGTGAAAATTTCGTGCAAAAGCCTAGGTTGAAATATTCGAGTGGTGAGCCAGAGGTAGTGACTGTGGACCAAAGATATGGGAAAATAGTCTCACTGACTTATGATAATAATTTGTGTTTATGTTTGTAGATTGCACACAACAATGAAGAGTTGGAAGTTTCTTGGTCTTCCACAATAATGCTAGGATTAATGAGAATGTTTTGAAGAAAAAAGTCTAAAAGTAGAATGACATATATAAAGCTAGGGCCACAAAAAGGGAGATGATTTAACACTTACAATTGAATAGGCAAAAATATCATTGTATTTAACGTTATTTAAACGATTTTGTTGACGGATGACAAAAATGGTTATGTCATAATAATAATAATACTAAGACAAAACCATAATATTTAAAAAAAAAAAAATTAAAAGTAGACTAACACGTGTAAATCTAAGATAAAAAATAAAAGGGAAAAGGGTCAAATAGGTCCTCGAACTTTAGTTTAAAAGTCAATTAGATCCCTAAACTTTTTAAAGGTGCAATTACACCCATCAACAATTCATTTAGGTGCAATGAAGTCAAAAAACAAGTTAATGACCTGCTATTACAGGTCATTAGGGTTCAGGCCACCTTCCAGCGAATTTTCCGGCAAAAAAATGGTGACCAGCAACCGACCCAGATTTGCTGAAAATTTCGCACGTCACTTCTTTTGCCGAAAATTTCGCCGGTCACTTTTTTTTTTTTTGCCGGAAAATTCGCCAGAAGGTGGCCTGAAGCCTAATGACCTGTGATAGCAGGTCATTAATTTGTTTTTGGGCTTCATTGCATCTAAATGAATTATTGAGTGTAATTGCACATTTAAAAAGTTTAGGGACCTAATTAACTTTTAAGCTAAAGTTTGAGGGCCTATTTGATCCTTTTTCCAAAATAAAATTAACTCATAAAAAGTCAAACACATAAAAATAGGACGAAGTATTAAGTTAAACTTACTATGGGAGTGGCATGTTGGCATTTTTTATTTGAGCAAATAAGCTGGTTGGAAAAAAAAAAAAGGTAATGAAAATTTGAAAGGAAATATTTTAAATATTTCAGAACTCATTTACCATTTTCAGCTTCTTTTCAAAGCGGAAATCGAAACCCTAAACAGGAAGTCGGATACAGAGCCAAGGGAATAAACAAAAGCGAACAACTCAAAAGGTTCGTTCGTCTAATCCATTTTTTTATGAACTTCCGGATCATATGATATATACATTGTAAACCTGTAAAACTTGGTTTTGAATGTTTAATTTTAGCTGTGGAATACTTGTGGATTCAGTTTTTGGCTATAACATGGACTCAAACGGACAAACATCTTCCGGTGATCAATTTGATGCTAAAGGTGCATTCCGTAGGCTGTCGACCGACACAACTAATCGAAAATATCGGCGCCGGTCTCCAGTTGGTGGCTCAGCATCAGCCGACGGTCAGTTCTCAATTACATCTGTTTCAAGGATTTTGAATTTATGTTATCAGAAATATGATCGGCTTGTTTTGGAAGCTATTACAATTTTGTTAACAATGTATGAACTGATTTGCCCTGGGTATGCTCTTGAAATTCTGTGATGAGGTGAGTGGTGAGTTGACCTTACTGGCCCATGGATTGGTGTTGTATCCTTTTGGATGAATATTAAAGCTATGTTTTTGCTGGTAGGAACTCATCCTCTTCCAGTTTGACTTATTAGTTTCATGTATCTATGTGTAAAGTATAGTGCTGTTTATTATGAATAAATGTAAAGACATGAGAAGTTAGATAGTTAGATAATTGGGGCCCTGAGAGAAATATTTTCTCCAATGAATTGTGAATACAAGACCTCTTGAATGAAATTCATTTTTCACTTTATAATGTAATGAATCAGGTGTGTATTGCACTTGTGTCGTATTTGTCACCTTGCATATTGGATGTCATTTTGGAGTTTAGATTTGATAGGGGAATGAATTATTTTTACTGCTGTAATTGGAATGGACTACTTTTCTTTTGACACATAATGCTTCAGCTATCACTAGGGTGGAGCTCTTCAATCATATTTTTATGATTTAATTTAAAAAATGGTCCCTCTACTATAATGATTTTCCAAAATTGATCATCCACTTCTAATTGGACCAAACTAAGTCATTGACTATAATGGTCTTTTTGGTTCTTCGTTGCTATATCCTTCGGAAGGTTGTCAAATTTGAAGACAAGTAATTTCACCAAAAAAACTCTCGATGTACTTGGTAGCACAGAATGAACTCAAGAAACTAAATTTTATATTGAACAACTTTGGTGAGAGTGTGAGACATGTTGGAAATTCATCACTAGAACACCTTTTCACAGCCTCTGCCACCAGCTCATCACCACTGCAATGCTGCAAGTTTGCTACCACTGCAAGAGGAAACCAGAAAAAGCTATGTTTTCTCCATTTTTAAATTATTATTATTCTTAAAATTATCTTCTGGATATCCAGCCAACACCCTGAGTAATTTCACTGTAGAAGTTTCATGATAGGAGAATAGGAGCAACAGCCATAGCCATGGCCCTTGCTCTCTAAGTTCTCTTCCTTGCTCTCTAAGTTCTCTTCTTTCTGTTTCTATAAATAAAATATCCCACTGAATAAGTAGATTTGTTTATTGTTTGTTCCAAAATCACTATTCTTGGTGATAATTGTGCAATAATTTATAGTTTCTCCATTTTAAAGAGCTCGGGCTCAGAGCAGGATTCTGCATGCAACCAAAAATTGTTTGCCTCTTTCTCTTTCTTCAAACATTAATGGCAAATCCGTGCTGTACATAGTTGCTTCAGTTTATGTATACACAATGAAAAGTTATACATACATAGGGGATTGCTCTGAGGCCAGTTGGTATGCTGAAAACTTTGATTTCTTGTCATTAATTGTCATCTTTGTTGTCTTTCTTCTCATCCATCTCCTCAAATGACTCTCAGTTTCAGTGATCTGAGAGGGATGTGATGATGCATCGATTCTGGGATTTTGCTATCTTCCCCTTTTACTTCCATCATTGAGATTAGACATTTACGTCAAGGTAATTTCAGTTTCCTCCAAATCACATGAAACAAGCTCCAATCTTTAACCTATCCAACCTCACATTCCCATCTGACTCATTCATGTACTGGAGTGGAACAACCACTACCACCATAGGGAAAATCTATGGGCCTGGCAATGAAGGTTGTGCTGCGATGACAAGGAGGAAATTTAGAAAATAGAGGGGGAGAAGAATCAGCTACAAAGTCCTCCAATCCAGACCCGAACCGCATTGTGTGAACTAAAATAAAAACCTGGAAGGGCTTGTGAGCAGTGTCATCATCTCCTTAGAACTCAACATGGTAAAATTACTTCTTAGGCCTAAAAATGATGATCTATTGACAGAGATAGTAATGGAGAACCAAATTAGGTAAGATTTCCAAGGGCTTAATTTGGTTCAGTTGAAAGTCAAGCATCAATTTTGGAAAACGGTTATAGTCAAGGGACCATTTTTATTAACTCATTTTTTTTTTTTTTGATTTATCAATAAATTATTCTCTTTTGTAGGTATCTTTTAATTATATGCATGTTGAGTGCAGGTAGTCCTGTCCGTAGTAGGAGTTCCAGTCCAATTCAAAGAAGGAAGAATCCTGAAAAAACTGTTGATGATCACAGAAGGCCAGATGATGAAAGGGATTCAGGTAGAGACTGGAGACAACAGGCCAGGAGCAGTGAGTCACGTAAACATTCTGATAAGCAATCTTCTAGAAGTTCTCATAGGCACCTTGAGCATG